AGCTACGTTGTAAGGGATACTTTTGCATTAATAAATATTTATTCTTTATTGCTGAAAGGTAAAGAATAAAGGTTCTCTTCTATTGTAGAATGCACAGGTAGTCATAATAACTGGGCAGGTCCTGTGTACCAAATTTAAGTATATTACATATTCCAACCTACTTAATCTCCCGACAATCCAGTGCGCTATTGTTATCCCCACTTTAAAGTTGAGGAAAAGAGGCCCATGTGAGTCAGGAGAATAGGAAGTGAGGGTGACCCAGCGATAAGGCAGAAGCTAAAGAACAGCAGGTGCAGCCAGGTCCGGGCAGGATGAGGCAGCTCACAGACCACTGGCTCCCTCCTGTAACCACAAGGCAGTCTCCACTTCAGCCTCTCATTGGTCTTGGGCCAATCCTTCATAGGAGGGAGCCAGTTGGAGGCCTCTGTGGGACACCTGGGGGTGTTACCAAATTCTAGCTTAATAAAAACCCTAACCAGGGGCTTCCAGAGCGACTGACGCAGGTTCACTCCCACTCTGTGGACGCACTTTTGCTTCAGTAAATCTGCGCTTTTGTTGCTTCTTTCTTCTTTCATTTCTTCGTTTTTTTTGTTGCTTTGTTTGTGTGTTTTGTTCAGTACTTTGTTCAACATGCCAAGAACCTGGACAGCTCGTGTTACCAGTCTCCATCCGGTAAGTCCTGGCGTCCAGAGTGCTCAAGCTCAGGCGCCTGCCTAACAGGGTTCTCCGAGTCTCCCCTATTTTTCCTGTATAGATAAGTAAGTGAGAGGGAAACAGAGGACGCCGCTATGTTCTCCAGGGTCTTGGAGGTCTAGCACAGAGGAGCATGCTTCTTTCCAGTGCACGTGGGCCACGCACAGCCACCTTAGGAGTGAGTGCTGTTGCAGCAGCGCCTGCACTCAGGACTGGGTTTATCGTGGAGAACCTGGCAGACTGCCTCTGAAGGGAGCACTGCCTGCCTGTCTCTAAAGGGAGCATTGTCTGCCTCTAAAGACAGTATTACCTGCTGTGGGGCCCATATACCTCTTTCCACTGCTGCTAGGCAAGTCTGGAATTCAAGTGACAATTATGCATGTTAAAAGCTTGGACTAGTTATAAAGTCAACACTTATTTTTGCAATGAAAAGACATTTTCTGACAGAGACCACCCTGGGCAACATAGGGAGACCCATCTCTACAAAAAAATACACAGACAGAAAAATTAGCTGGCGGGCACCGCCTGTAATCCCAGCACTTTGGGAGACCAAGGCAGGTGGATCACTCAAGGTCAGGAGTTTAAGAACAACCTGACCAACATGGTGAAACCCCATCTCTACTAAAAATTAAAAAAAAAAAAATAGCTGGGCATGATGGCACAAGCCTGTAATCCCAGCTACTTGGGAGGCTGAGCCAGGAGAATCACTCAAACCCAGGAGGCAGAGGCTGCAGTGAGCCAAGATCATGCCACTGCACTCCAGCCTGGGGAACAGGGCAAGACTCCATCTCAAAAAAAAAAAAGAGAGAGATCCAAGATGGCCGACCACTAGCAGCTCAGGCTTGTAGCTACCAGTGAAAGCACAGAGAACGAGAGGATGCCACACTTTCAGACGAATTTTTGTTGCTCAAGGATCAGGAGATTCGCAGCGGAGGAGCCCCATGGGTTGCCAGCGCGACCGGCGCAGCGGTTCTTGGTGCAGAGTAAACGGGACTGGTTCCCCTTTTGGCCGACATTTGGAGCTGATTGAAGAAGGGGTTCAGGAGGGAAGCCAGACGGGAGACTCCCGGACAGAAAAGCACCAAGAATCTTGATGCCACTGTTTTAGCCTACGCAGTGGGTTGCTCAGTTTCGGTGCTGGGAATTAACAAGTTGGACGTCCACTAAGAGACCTAATTTGAAAGTTGGTAATTACAAAGACGACAGGTAGATAAATTTACAAGGATGGGAAGAAACCAGCGTAAAAAGGCTGAGAATACTCAAAATCAGAATGCCTCTCCCTCCAAAGAGGATCACAGTTCCTCATCAACAAGGGAACAAGACTTGATGGAGAATGAGTGCATTCCATTAACAGAATCAGGCTTCAGAAGATGGATAATAAGAAACTTCTGTGAGTTAAAAGAACATGTTGTAGCCCAATGTAAAGAAACTAAGAATGAAAAAAAGATTTGACGAAATCCTAATGAGAATAGACAATTTAGAGAGGAATATAAGTGAATTAATGGAACTGAAGAATACTATACGAGAATGCCATGAAGTGTGCACAGGTTTTAACACTCGAATTGATCAAGGAGAAGAAAGAATATCAGAGGTCGAAGACCAACTTAATGAAATGAAACTAGAAGAAAGATTAGAGAAGAAAAAGCAAAAAGGAATGAGCGAGGTCTCCAAGAAATATGGGACTATGTGAAAAGACCTAATTTACGTTTGATAGGTGTACCTGAATGTCATGAAGAGAATGAATCCAAGCTGGAAAATATTCTTCAGGATATTATTCAGGAAAACTTTCCCAACCTAGTAAGGTGGGACAATACTCATCTCCAGGTAATACAGAGAACACCACAAAGATATTCCTCAAGTAGAACAACCCCAAGGCATATAATTGTTAGATTCACCAGGGTTGAAAAAAAGGAGAAAATTCTAAGGGCAGCTAGAGAAAAAGGTCACGTTACCCATAAAGGGAAGCCTATCAGACTCACAGCAGATCTCTCAGCAGAAACCCTATGAGCTAGAAGAGAGTGGGGGTTAATATTCAATATCCTCAAAGAAAAGAATTTTCAACCCAGAATATCATATTCAGCCAAACTAAGCTTTATCAATGAAGGAAAAGTAAAATTTTTCATGAACAAGCAAGCACTCAGAGATTTCATCACCACCAGGCCTGCTTTACAAGAGCTTCTGAAAGAAGCACTACACACAGAAAGGAACAACCAGTATCAGTCATCCCAAAAACTTACCAAAAGATAAAGAGTACCTCCATAATGAAGTATTTATATCAACTAATGGGCAAAATAGCCAGCCAGCATTAAATGACGATATTAAACTCACAAATATCAATATTAATCCTGAATTTAAATGGATTAAAATGCCCCAATCAAAGACACAGACACACAAACTGAATAAAAAGTCGAAACACATCAGCACTCTGTATCCAGATCCATCTCATAAGCAAGGACACACAGAGACTCAAAACAAAAGGTTGGAGGAAGACTCACCAATCAAATGGAGAGGAAAGAAAAACAAAACAAACAAAAAACAGGAGTTGTAACTTTCGTCTCTGACAAAATAGACTACAATAGTAACCAAGACTAAAAGAAACAAAGAAGGACATTACATAATGATAAAAAGATCAATGCAACAATAGGAGTCAATGATCATAAATATCTATGTACCCAATATAGGGGCACCCAGATACATAAGACAAGTTTTCAATGACTTATAAAGAGACTTGGACTCCCACACAATAATTGCAGGAGACTTTGACACCACATCGTTAATATTCGACGGATCAATGAGATAGAAAGTTAACAGGGACATTTATGATTTGAACTCAGACCTGGAACAAGTAAACTCAGTGAATATTTACAGAATTCTTAACCCCAAGTCCACAGAACATACATTTTTTTTAGTATCACATTACACCTATTTTGAAAGTGACCACATAAATGGAAACAAATCACTCTCCAGCACTCACACAGCATTTCACAGATTTAAATGAAACATTGATTGGCCGTTTGTCTGTTATTTTCTTTCCTTATTCCTTCCTGTCTCCGCTGTTAAGCACAATCATCAGCATAAAAGAGGTTTTTAATACCTATTTCTAGATTGCATTCCAGCCTGGGCAATCGAGCAAGACTCCTGTTCTCTCTCCCCCTTTTCTCTTTCTCTTTAAAAAAAAAGAATGAGAGGCACCTCTTGATTCTTGGGCATATGGCTGTAAGAGAGATAGTACCATATACTGTTTCAAAGCATGTGCTGCATTCTGTGACACAGAACCACATTCTTTCATGGATTCGCTTCTTCTCAATGTTGCTGGCAGTACAGGTGTGTATCACTGTGCCCAGCTAATTCTGTTGTTTTTTTGTAGAGACAGGGTCTTAAACTCCTGGGCTCAAGTGATCTTCCCCCCTCGGCCTCCCAAAAAAGAAAAGAAAAAGAAGTTGGATCAGGGAAGTATGAAACATGGCAACGTATTAGTATTTTAGATAAACTCAAGCACCTCATCTGTTATGACAAGTGTGCTGATTAGGATGTTATTGGTTATATAGTTTTGCCTTATTTGATTTGTTGTAAATATAAAGAGTTCGTGCATAATTTTACACTTAGGTATAAATAATAGCCTAATTTAAAAATACGTTGTTGAAAATATGGAGCCATAGAAATATATTTTTCAAGTGGGATCCATCTATTTCTCAAGTTCAGCACAAAGTAATAAAAATCGTTTATGTACATAGTAAGGTTTGCATATTGGTTCTAATCTATTTTGGGTGCTAACAAACTTCACTTTTTTTATTGCTGGATGTGTTAATGCTTCCTTTGCCTCAAAGGTTCTGCTACAAATTGAGTGACGACTGCCACTTAATTACAGAGCTCAGTCTGCTCACAGGTAATGCTGAGATGACGATACCAGCATCACAGGGAATTGGGGAGCTCTTAGTTTATAATGTGCGGCCACCCCCCGGGAGACTCCTAGCATAATGTGAGTTCTGTGTGTGTGCGCGCGCATATGTGTGTCTGTGCGTGTGTGCGTGTGTCTGTGTGTGCGTGTGTGTGCGTGCGCATGTGTCTGTGTGTGCGTCCGCGCATGTGTGTGTCTGTGTGTGCGTGTGTGTGTGCATGTGTCTGTGCGTGTGTGTGCACATGTGTGTGTGTGTGTGTGCATGTGTGTATACATTCACTGAATTTATTCCCATTAAACTTGACTGTCTACAGATTTCAGACAGCTCTCTAGCCTTCCTTTTCTGAAATCAGGTAAATGAGTATTATTAATCCATTAATCATTACATTTTTCTATGATATAGCTTTTGTTTATTTTTAAACTTAAAACTCAAATATTTTCCTTTATCAGGCTTTTTGTGAAAAATCTCTTTGTACACATGAGAATAGTAATTGCCTCCTGGACTCTCACTCACTTTAGCATTTATTTCTCAAGTTTGACAATGAAAAGAATGTATAGATTTCCAGGTGCAGATATCGATGGGAAGACGAGCTCTGCTGCTCCCAGCGTCCTTCCTGACGGAGCACAGCAGTATTTGCTAACGTTTTTGTTGACGCGGCAGTACTCTAGGTTCGGGTTTCACCTGCCTGCCCTGGGACCCTCTACCCGGAAGCTTCTCTTAACCACAGACTAGTCCTGGCTTGACAGAGGCCTCCCATCGCTGTCCCTGTGTCCTTGCCGTCACCCCCTTCCTGTCACGGGGTCGCTCCATTCTCCCTGCCGAGGTCTGGGTCCACCCTTTCCTGTCTGGGTCCGCTGCCATAACCCAGGTCCTCCACACATTCATTCAAAAGGTCTATTTAGGGCCTATGTGCGCCAGGCCCTCTGGTGGGGTGGGAGCCTGGCGGGAACCCCACCACAGCCCCTGTCCTCAGGGAATTCACACATTAGCCACAATCAGGACAGGTCCTGGTGTGCCAAGGAGCCACGAGCTGGGCCAGGAGGAGGTGTTCCTGGTTTGCTTCGTGCAAAGTATCCTTCCCAGAAAAGTGGATGCCTCGTGAAGGATGTTAATGATGAGTATTAGGAACGGTCGAGGGACAGAAGGTGGAGAGGAGAAAATACGCACAGACGGAGGATTCATTCCCCCTCACCTGATCTGCAAACTGCGCTAATCATTGCTCTTACCTGCTGAGATTGTTGTGAGAATTAAACCTAATGGGAAAAACAAGCGAAGTGTTTTAACATCGACCTCGAGGCGGACCCCATACCTGCTGGCTGTTATCATTCAGACTGTACAGTCTTTGGGGGAAGATAAAACATACCATATGAAAAGTTTTCCAGAGATAAAAATATGTAAATAACATACGAAGCTTCCCCTGGCCAGAGGGCTGAGGTGAGCGCTCCACCTACAGCTTCTCTCCATGTTATTCCCCCACTTATTCACAGCCATCAGCCTGAGCACCACCAGAACTCACTGCCTCCCTTCTGGGCCCATGGGCTGCTGGACACTGCAGCTGTGATTTCCAATCCTGCCATCATCTGTGAGGCGTACGTCGTATTTCCACTTGTGGGTAAGGAAATTAAACCTCACTTTGATAAGGATCTGCTCCATCTAAGATTTGAACCCCGGCCCATCTGGCTGCGAGCACACGCTCACTCCACCAGCATAGCGAGCAAGCACGTGGGAAGCCATCCTGCATCATCCGCCTCCTCCAGGAATCACTCAGCAAGACGTCACTTGGGTTCTCCATTCTGCCGTTTATGAAAGTGTCCAACCAACCTGGTCACAGAGCTGTCCAGGCAGGGAGCTCTTGGGATGGCAGAACCCTGGCTCTGTTAGAAGTGGGCCAGATTATTCTGAGGATGGTCTGTTGCCAGGAGTTCGCGTGGGTACCGGGCACCACTTGGAAGGATGTGATGGGAAGGGCACGTCTTCCCATAACTCCAGTCTCACCATGGGTAACACATCAGACAAACCCAGACTGAGGGACGTTCTTCACAACACGTCGCCAGCACACCTCAAAATGGTCCAGGTCATGACAAGGAAAGGCCGGGGACTCATCATGGGTGGAGGATGCCAGAGAGACAGGACACCTACATGCAGTGTGCACCTTGGAGGGAATTCTAGGACCAAAACGGGCTTGGACACGAAGGGGCCTTCACAGGAAGATGGGTGAGGCCAGTGAAGTGTGGCGGGTAAGGAAACTCTGCACCATGTGCAGAAACTCGATTCCCCCTGCGTTTCCAGGGCTGGCACCACATGGTAGGTGCCTATGCGTGGCTCCATCTGGAGGACCCGTGGGACTGGGCCTGTGGGGAAGGTGCAGGCCGTCTGCCGGTGCCTCAGGCAGCAGCGCTTGTTCCTGGAATGGCGGCACCACCCCTCAGGGGTCAGGGCTGGGCACTGCTGTAACATCCTTAGAAAGGCTTAGCTGCTGCCCATTCATTGCCAGCACGAGAAAGTGTGGGCTGAGAGTGTCGTCTCTCTGTCTTGCATGCTGCTGCCTGGGATCTGCCTGCACTTCCCAATTTACTCGGAGGCTGGGGAGACATTTCACGTAGAGCCCAGGCTGGTTGTAAAGATGGAATGCCTGCTGTGTTTGGAGGAAAGCAGTGAACCCTCAAGTCACAGCCCCTGGTATGGACAGAAATGCCATCGATGGGAACCCCCGAGCATCCTCAGCACTGGAAGAGGGAAGAGTAACAGGGCCTTGCAGACCTGGGAGCCTCATGGAGAAAGTGGAGTGTTCGGTGTTATTCCAGGAGGGGAGAGGAAGAGGGGTGCCAGGCAGGGTGGACGCCGTGGCCACAGTGGGCCTGCGGAGCTGGTCCCAGGAGGGGAGAGGAAGAGGGGCGCCAGGCAGGGTGGACGCTGTGGCCACAGTGGTCCTGCGGAGCTGGTCCCAGGAGGGGAGAGGAAGAGGGGCGCCAGGCAGGGTGGACGCTGTGGCCACAGTGGGCCTGCGGAGCTGGTCCCAGGAGGGGAGAGGAAGAGGGGCGCCAGGCAGGGTGGACGCTGTGGCCACAGTGGGCCTGCGGAGCTTGCGCAAAGGTGCTGTTTTCTCCATCCCACGGGTGAATTAACTGTCAGCTGCTCTGCTGGGTGACTCGTGTGGTGGTGAATGTACAATCAGTACGGGTCTCTGGCTAGTTGGACTTGTAGTTCAAGGAAAGACAGTCAACAGGTAAACCACACTGGAGCTACAAATTATGGAGGGGGGAGCATGAGGGAAGGAACCCCAAGAAGAATAACAGAGCCTCCCTGTGTACTGGGCAGTCGGCCATCTGAGAGCTGAAGGGAACAGAAACCAGCCAAGTGGGGCTGGGAGAAAGTCACTGCAGGTGACTGGCCACCGCTGTGGGTCTGCCCCAACCCCTCAAGGCCCACCTCGTGTTCTCATCCTTGCCCTGGTGGTCAGTGTCACAGAGCTGCTCTCTGAGGCCCTGCGTCTCCCTCACTTTTCTCTGGGGCATTCCCCAAGTAGCGGGGGGGAGGATCCCCAGACTGGACGCATGAGGCCTTCAACAGTCCCTGTGGCAATGCTTGGACACCCATGAGTAACGGGACTGCACCCACCCCCCTGCATGGTGGACAGGGCTCCCCTGAGGCCCGTCACCAACAGTGTGGCCAGCCTGGCAGCACCCGCCTGCTCTGTTCTTCCTCCCTGCCCGCTCCATACTTCCCAGCCCCCTCTGCTGCTCCCTCTGCTGCCTCCCTTCCCAAATCAACCACCTTCACACAGCCCCTTGACCCCAGCTCTGCCATCCGGGGGAACCCAGGCTAAAGGAGCCCATGGCAGAGGTGGCCTGGAAAGTGTGTCCTCAGGATGGGTTTGAGAGCTCGCGGTGGACGGTCTGGAAGTCAGCCCAGGTTAGTAGAACAGCCTGGGTGGCTCAATTTCTCTCTCACCGTTCTGGAGACAGGGAAGTCAAGGTCAAGGTGCTGGCAGATTTACTGGGTGGCGAGGGCTCTCTTCCTGGTTTGCGGGCAGCCACCTCCTTTCTGTATCTTCACATACATGGCAGGGGAGAGAGAAGGAAGAGAGAGAGAACACAGTGCTCTACCTTCTTCTGTTTATAAGGACACGAATCCCTCCACAGGAACCCCACCATTGTGACCGCACCTAAACTTCCATCATGCCCAAAGGCTCACCTTCAAAGACCCTCACACTGGGGGTTGGGGCTTCAGCGTGGGAGGTTTGGAGGGACATGCACACTCAGTCAGAGGGCACGCAGCGGCCACACACTGTGAGCCCCTGGAAGTGCAGGGGGAGGAGCAGGTGGAAAGAAACACGTTGGCTTCCTCTGTCGCTGTGGTATTGAACGGAATGGAGGAAATGGCTCTTACAGACTGTGGAGTCGGCTGACTTAGAAGCCCCTAAAAAAGGAAATGACAGGCTTGGTGAGCCACCCTCAGCCCGAGGCTCCCTGTGAAAGCCAGAGGCTCTGAGGCAGTGTTGACAGAGGCCTCTGCCTCCTGTGGCTATGGGGACGCTGGGGAAGGTCAGGCAGAGCTACAAGGCTGAACAGCAGCAGAGCTACAAGAAAGCAGAGCTCACAGCCTTGTGTTTCAGGCCAAGTCAGGGTCCTGTGATGAGCACTGCAACCTGGGAGGAAATGCCTGCAGTCCATGGCCTGAGGCTCTTGGCTGCCCAGTATCCCTGAACCCCCAGAGCGGGCAGAGTGGCTTCCTCCTGATGCTGGAGACAGAGACACTGGCCTACGGGAGTGGGCACCTGAGTCTGTCTCACATGAACACTCTCCAGAATGTCCGCTCCAGAGAGGAACTTGCCCCTGGGTTACTGTATGATGTGTGGGGCTCCCTCACATGTATGTGTGGAAATCCTGGCCCCTCAGGGGGTGGCACCAGAAGGTGGGGTCTCTGGGAGGCTCCACCCTCATGCATAGGATTAGTGTCTTTTTTTTTTTTTTTTTTTTGAGACAGAGTCTCATTCTGTCGCCTTGCTGGAATGCAGTGGCACAGTCTTGGCTCACCACAACTTCTGCCTCCTGGGTTCAAGTGATTCTCCTGCCTCGGTCTCCTGAGTAGCTGGGATTATAGGCACCTGCCACGATGCCCAGCTAATTTTTTTGTATTTTTAATAGAGATGTGGTTTCATCACGTTGGCCAGGTTGGTCTCAAACTCTTGACCTCAGGAGATCTGCCCGCGTTGGCCTCCCAAAGTGCTGGGATTACAGGCATGAGCCACGCCCCAGGCCAGATGAGTGTCTTTAGAGAAGATGTGCCAGGGAGTTGAGTTGCCCGCCCCTCATGTGAGAGCCCTGCAGGAGGCGCGGTCTGTGGAGGGGAGAGTCCTCCAGGCAGAATCTGCCGGCACCTTGGTCTCAAATTCCCTGCCTTCAGATCCAAGCAACACGTTCTTGTCCAAAAATGACGCCGTTGGTGGCATCAGCTCATAGCAGCCCAATCGTACCAAGCTGCCCAGAAAGACAGAATGAATTGCAGGTGTCAGAGTCCCCTCCCACACTCGTGCCTTCCGGCCTGGTGATGGTGCAGCAGGAGTTGGAGGGAGGCGGGTGCAGGCCCACACAGGGGCTCCCTGTCACCCAGTTTGCTCCAGGTTCTGCCCCTAGCACCCAACCCTGATGCGGCATCTCTGCTGAGGGAATGGCAGGCCTCTCTGCTGGGGGCTGGGCGGTGGCAGCACCAGGGGCCTCGAGTACACCCACCTGGCCACAGGCATGAGGTCCTCAGAGGGAGGCAGCCCTGAGCGAGGCCAGGGCAAGTGTGTATGTGAGTGTGTGTGTGTGTGTGAGAGAGAGAGAGAGCGAGAGAGAGAGAGACAGGGTCTTGCTCTGTCACCCAGGTTGGAGTGCAGTGCCTGATCACAACTCACTGCAGCCTCCACTCCTGGACCCAAGGAATCCTCCCACCTCAGCCTCTTGAGTAGCTGGGACCACAGGCACATGCCACCATGCCCAGGTAATTTTAAAAAATTATTTTTAGAGATGGGGTCTCGCTGTATTGTCCAGCATTGGTTACAAACTCCTGGCCTCAAGCAATCTCCTGCCTTGGCCTCCCAAAGTGCTGGGATGACAGGTGTGAGCCACTGTACCCAGCGGAATTTTGCCTAATTGCTTTTTTCAATTAAGCAAACAATGACTGAATTGGCCACCGTCAGAGACACATGAAAGAAACGCTAAAGGGAGTATTTACTGCGGAGGGAAAATGTCCCAGATAGAATCCCAGTAAGAAATACATCGATAGCAGAGAGTGGTGACGCTAAAGAACAATAAATTGTATAAAAATAACAACACTACATTGTTTATTTTAAAACATACAGAAAATTAGAATTCAGGAAACTAGTATCCTGTGGGTCAGGGTGGGGTGCCTGTGGAGAAAAGAGTTCTCAGAGGGCAAAGGTGCTCTCTCACTTCTACTAGAGTTTGGTAAGTCAAGGACACATGCCATAACTGTAGGCTGACCACTAAAAATAGCAAAAGAATATCTAAAAAACCCCTAGGAAGAAATGTGTAATAAAAAGTTCTTAATAGCTGGGCTTGGTGGCTCACGTCTGTAATCCCAGCACTTTGGGAGACTAACACAGGCGGATCACCTGAGGTCAGGAGTTTGAGACGAGCCTGGCCAACATGGTGAAACCCTGTCTCTACTAAAAATTATGAAAATTAGCCGGGTGTGTGCATGGGCACCTGTAGTCCCAGCTACTCGGGAGGCAGAGGCAGGAAAATCACTTGAACCCGGGAGGCAGAGGTTGCAGTGAGCTGAGATCATGCCACTGCACTCCATCCTGGGAGACAGAGCAAGACCTTATCTTAAAAAAAAAATTATTAATGAGGAAATGGAATATTCCTCTTCCAGTGGCCATGGAACAAGTTGACCCACTCCTTCCTCCCCTCCCGCAAAAAAGACTAATTGAGCATCAGATTTAAACAATCTTACCAACATAAACACATGTAGAACAGTGTAGCCAATGGCTATGAAAGATATATTCTTTTAAAGGTCCTTTGAACAGTTCTGAAGCAAGCCATAGTTCAAACCACTGCAATGACACAAAGTAGGTATTCTTTTTTTTTTTTTTTTTTTTTTTTTGAGACAGAGTCTTGCTCTGTCGCCCAGGGGCTGGAGTGCAATAGCGTGATATCGGCTCCCTGCAATCTCTGCTTCCCAGGTTCAAGAGATTCTCGTGCCTCAGCCGCCCAAGTAGCTGGGATTACAGGAGCCCTGGGAGTTTAAGACCATGCTGGCCAACATGGTGAAACCCTGTCTCTACAAACACACAAAAATCCTCCAGGCATGGTGACAGGTGCCTGTAATCCCAGCTACTTGGGAGGCTGAGGCAGGAGAATTGCTGGCACCCAGGAGGCAGAAGTTGCAGTGAGCTGAGATTGCACCATTGCACTCCGGCAACAGAGTAAGACTCTGTCTCAAAAATAAATAAATGAAAAGTTAAAATTAAAAAAGTTAAGATGGGAAAGGAGATAAAACAGAAGAAAATATGAAAAAAAGTAATGATAAGAACAGAAACTAGTGATGTGGGAAATAAAGAGTTAAAAACTTATGTCTTTGAAGAATTTTTAAAAACCCAGACAATTGGCAACGTTGATAAAAATAAATTTAAAACCACACAGATTACCAATATCAGAAATGAAAAATGAAACGTCACCAGAGCTCTGACACATGGCAGCAACAACGCGAGGGTACGTTGAACAATTTTATGCAAGTACTTCAGCATCTTAGATGAAACGGACAAATGCCTTGGAAAACATAACTTACCCCAACAGAGACAAGAAGATATAGAAAACCTGAATAGTCTTTTTCTATTAAGGAAATTGTTATTCATAATTTTAGAACTTCTCACAAAACAACATCCGAACCCACATGCCTCTCCAGTGAATTCTTCCAAAACTTTCAGGAAACAACGGTCTTACGTGTGCTGATGGAGACAGAAGAAAACGAGGAAAGTGCACCCACTTGTTGAAACCAGTATAGCGTTTGTACAAAACTTCTAAAAACACTGTCCGAAGTAAAACCTATAAGCCAACATCTCTTACAAACGTAGATGCAAAAATCATATTGAGAAAAGCAAACCGGGACTCCATGTTTGGGTCCCCTTCCAGGAACACTCCCTTCATGGGAGCCGTCTTTCCCTCTCCTGGATTTTCCTCTGGAGTCCCCCTCCGCACTCTCGTGGGAGCCTGTCTTCTCCTAAACTCAGTCTCTCTCTATTCCCTAACACTCTCGTGGAAGCCTGTCTTCTCCTAAACTCCATCTCTCTCTACTCCCTAACACTCTCGTGGAAGCTGCTTTTCTCTCCTGGATTCCATCTTTCTGGATTCTCTCACTCAGTGTGAGTGAGAGTCAGATGTTTCTTTCCCTCTCCTTCTCCTGTTTCTCTCTCCCTCTCTAAATAAATCACTTTCTACAAACAAACAAACAAAAAAAGAATAGCAAACCAGGTGTAGTAATTCTAAGTAAAATGATGCTACATTATTACTAAATAGAATTAATCACAGGAATGCAAAATTAGTCAACATCAGAAAATCGATCAGTATAATTCACGACAGTAATAGAACACAGGAGTAAATTGTGTGACAATCTCCGAAGATGCAAGGAACAAAGCTCAGCGTCCATTCATGATCAAAGTTCTCAGCAATTAAAATGACAACATTTTAAATCTCAAACATGTAATTTACAGAACAACCGTAACAAGCTTTATACTTAACCACACAATGGTTAACAGCTTTCCCTGAGATCAGGAGCAGAAAGCATGTTTACTGTTACCGTTTATGCTCGCCTTTTAGCTGGAAGTTCTAGATACAGAATGAAGGCAAGTAATAATAGTAATGAATTAAGGACTGGACATGAAGAAATAAAACTGTTATTACTTATGGAAAAGTTTGTTTTATATGTAAAAAAATTAAGGCCGGGCGCAGTGGCTCACGCCTATAATCCCAGCACTTTGGGAGGCCGAGGTGGGTGGATCATGAGGTCAAGAGATCGAGACCATCCTGGTCAACAAGGTGAAACCCCATCTCTACTAAAAATACAAAAATTAGCTGGGCATGGTGGTGCATGCCTGTAATCCCAGCTACTCAGGAGGCTGAGGCAGGAGAATTACCTGAACCCAGGAGGCGGAGGTTACGGTGAGCCGAGATCGTGCCATTGCACTCCAGCCTGGGTAACAAGAGCGAAACTCCGTCTCAAAAAAAAAAAAAATTAAGTAACTACAGATGAAGGTGACCACAGGTCAATATTCAAAAATAAACTGTGGGCTGGGCATGGTGGCTGACGCCTATAATCCCAGCACTTTGGGAGGCTGAGGCAGGCAGACCACTTGAGGTCAGGAGTTCAACACCAGCCTGGCCAACATGGCAAAACTCTGTTTCTAATAAAAATTCAAAAATTAGCTGGGTGTAATGGTGCATGCTTGTAATCCCAGCTACTCGGGAGGCTGAGGCAGGAGATTGCTTGAACCTGTGAGACAGAGGCTGCAGTGAGCTGTTATGACACCACTGTACCTGGTGACAGAGTGAGACCCTGTCTCAAAAAATAGTAAATAAATAAACGCTGAAGATCTGTCTCCAGTGATGACTAGGTAAGCTCCTATCAAACCAGTCGTCTTTCAGAAAATAAACTCAAGACAAATTTTAAAAAAAAGAAATCAACTCCCTGGCCTGGTGCCGTGGCTCACACCTGCAATCCCAGCAGTTCAGAAGGCTGAGAGTGGGGGATTGCTTGAGCTCAGGAGTTTGAGACCAGCCTGTCCAACACAGCAAAAGCCTGTCTCTGATAAAAATTCAAAAAGGAGCTGAGTGTTGCATACTTGTAATTCCAGCTACTAGGGAGGCTGAGGCAGCAGCACTTGAACCTGGGAGGTGGAGGTTGCAGTGAGCCGAGATCACGCCACTGCACACCAGCTTGTTATTACTCACGGAAAACTTTATAAGTTAAAAAATTAACTACAGACGAAGGTGACCACAGGTTAATTTTTGAATATTGACCTGTGGTCACCGTCTGTAGTTAATTTTTTACTGACAGAGTGACAGAGTGAGACTGTCTCAAAAAATGATAAATAAATATAAATAAGTAAATAAACTATGAATCTCTGTCTCTATTGATGACCGGGTAAGCTCCTATCAAACCAATCCTCTTGCAGAGAGTACCATAAACTCAAGACAAAATTGTGTTGTGTTTTTTGTTGTTATTGTTTTAAATCAACTACTTGGCCAGGCACAGGGGCTCACACCTGCAATCCCAGCAGTTTGGGAGGCTGAGACTGGGGGATTGCTTGAGCTCAGGAGCTTGAGACCAGCCTGGGCAACATGACAAAACTTTGTCTCCACCAAAAATTAAAAATCAGCCAGGTGTGGTGGCACGTGCCTGTGGTTCCAGCTACTTGGGAGGCCGAGGTGGGAGGATGGCTTGAGCCTGGGAAGCAGAAGTAGCAGTGAGCCAAGATTGTGCCAGTGCACTCCAGCCTGGGTGACAGAGCGAGACCCTCTCCGAGAAAAAAGAAGAAAACATCGACTACCTGAATATTGACTCAAAAGAAGGCAAATTCTAGGGAAATTGACACTTAGAAAAAGGAAACAGCTTCCCAGTGTGTTAGTTTGCCGGCTGTGTGTCTTAAGCCGTCAATATTTGCTTTCTCACAGTTCTAGATCCTGGAGGGCCAAGGTGTCAGCAGGACTGGTTCCTTCTGAGGCCTCCCTCCTGGGTTCGTAGACAGCTGTCTTCTCCCTACGTCCTCACTCTGTCTTCCCTCTGGCACGTTATACAGTGAGGAACAATGATTCAAAGGATAGCTAACTCCCCATCAGAAACAACAAGGCCAGAGGAGAGGGGAACAATCTTTTTTTTTTTGGCAGAGTTTTGCTCTGTCACCCAGGTTGAAGTGCAGTGGCATCATCTTGGCTCATTGCAGCCTCTGCCTCTCTGATTCAAGTGATTCTCCTGCCTCAGCCTCTCGAGTAGCTGGGATTGCAGGCGCCCACCATCATGTCCGGCTAATTTTTGTATTTTTAGTAGAGATGTGATTTGCACCATGTTGGCCAAGCTGGTCTCGAACTCCTGATCTCAGCTGATATGCCTACCTCATCCTCCCAAAGTGCTGGGACTACAGGCATAAGCCACTGCACCCAGCCTTAAGTGTTAATTATTCAACACTTTAATTAAAAGGCAGACGTTATCAGATTGGATTTTAAAATGCAAAGCCCAACTGTCTGCTGTCCTCGGGAGTCCTACTCCAGATATAAAGCGCAAGTGGGCTAAGAACCAGTGATGCCCAAGGATATGCCATACAAATACTTCGTGCAAGAACGCGGGACCTCGATGTTCATATCAGCTGTCCTCATTTCAGTGGACTTCAAGACAGAGAATGAAGAGAAACAGACATTTCATAATGTCTGAGGAAAAAAATGTCTGTTTTTCTCTCCTCTTACAGAATGCTACCGAAACCCAATGGGGAGTTTTTCCCCCACACCCACCAACCTCCAATGCGCCAGACGCCAATGCAAGGTCCTAACTCAGTCATGGCATTACGTGGAGTCAGTGGGAGCCCATGGGTTGAGAGCTCAGCCCTGCAAGACTGCCTCCACTTCAGACGCCAGTTTCAAGCAGCGGGTCAGGTTCCCAATTTAGTCCCGCTTCTGTCCAATGTAGCTGCGTATTAGGGGTTCCCATGAGCCCCTCTTCAGGTTTGATAGCTTGCAGACATGACAGCCCACAGCACGCAGAGAAACACTCATGTTCACTAATTTAGTATAAAGACCACAGAATGAACTCTCAGGTGAAGAAAGGTGCCAGGGCAGGAGCTGGGGTGCACCCCAACAAACACCCCAACCCCCAGCATGTGTTCACCAAACTGGAAGCTTCCCAACCTCCTAGTTTAGGACTTCACAGTGGTCTTGTCACATGGGTGTCATCAGTTAGGAGCTCAATCTCCAGCTCCCCCCAGGGGGTTGGAGTTGAGAGTTCTAGCTTCTCAGGGCAGCTCGGTCTTTCTGGCGACCAGCCCCCTCCCGGGGGCCACCAAGAGGCACCTCATTAGAACAAAAGGTGCTCCTATCACTCCAGAAACTTCCAGGAATTAGGGGCTCTGTGCTGAGAACTTGGGACAAAGACCAAATATATATTTCTCGATATTTCACAATGTTACATCTCAAATTAGCAAATGAAGCAGACATGAAGAAATGTGCCTTGGTCACTAGAAATGGCAGCTGGAGGAAACAGTGGGAGAGAAAGCGCACCTGTGTGTCTGCTGCAGAGCTGCTCCTTGACACAGCACAGCTCAGCCCAGAGCCTTTACACCTCCTGCGCAGAAACCTGCAAACTTAAGAGCTGCAAGACAAGTACAAAGAATATCCAGTTCATCGACTGCTGACATTTTGCCCTATTTGCCTTAGCATTTGTTTTGCTCTCTCATCTGATACTTATTTATATAAAATGTGTAAATATCATATACATCAAAAAAGAGTAAAATTTCCTATATAAACATGTTGTTCCCCCTAAGTTGTTTGAGAATAAATTGCATATATTGTGGCCTCTAAATACTTTATGTAGCCTGTAAACATTTACCTTCTAAATATTTCAGTGTCTTTCCTAAAACCAAAGTTATTCTCTAACACAACCACAGCGCAGCTATCCATTTCCGTAAATGTAACATTGACAAAATATTCTTGTCTAATCTATTGCCTGACTTCCAGGGTTACCGCAGACCCGTAACGTCCTTCGGCGTCCTCTTCTCCCCAGCACGGGATCTATTCTAGGGTCACAGATCCTTTTAATTTTCTGGTTTTTCAATCCTCAGCCCCTCTGTCTTCGACAGCACCGACGCGGTGTTTGCTTTAATAATAAGACAGGGTGCGTTTACGGCTCTGGAGCTCTTACTCTGATGAGAAGATGAGCCAGAGTCAGGGGCTTCTGGGGTGGGGTGGGCACCCACCTACTCTCTCCCACCCCGCAGAGCACCAAGCATCAACAGCCCCCACCTGTGGCCCCTCCCCTAACTCTTTCTTGAACCCATGACGGGACCCGCAGGGCCGATGGCCTGCTGTCACAAGGCACGTATCGCATGCAGGGCAGCCTCTCCCTTGCTCCCACTTTCTGCCCACAGGTGGTCAGAGGAAGGTAAGAAAAGAAAGAGGACTTCTGGGACCCCAAGACCCCCACCCCAGACTTAGCGGAGGCAGGACTCAACAACAGCATTCTTGATAGCCAAGGTGTCCTGGATACGAAAGAAAACAGAAAGACGCGCTCTGAGAACAGGTGACTCCTTCACATTCTCCCACCCTGCAGCCACGTGTGCTCCCACCTGACAAAGATTCGTGCAGCTCAGACCCCAATCCTCGGCTTATCTGAAACAGCCAGAGAGAACTGTGGGCAATCTCCGCAGGAAAACATTCAAAAACAGTTTTTAGGTGGTATCTAAGTTGTTTCAGGCCTTCTGAAATCTGGGCCAAACCCAGTTATTTCAAAATTTGAAAATCTTCACAGGAACAGTAGAAAGCCCCAGAGGCATTAGAGATAAAGATCATAGAACAAGAGTGACATTTTTAATTGCAAAATTGCTCAAGAAATAGCATCTTCAAAATGGGAGTTGATCTAGCTGATACTGATTATTTGCTTATGGTAGATTCCAAATTCTATTCTTCCCCTGACGTTTTTCCAATGGAAAAATCAACATCTCTTTCAAAGATCGAATCTTGTGTTTTCCTTAATTTAGCATTGAAATGATTGTCCCTTCCAGTGGGTTCCTCTTTTGTCTTCCCTCGCCAGCAGGCTTCCATTTCTAGTCTTCAGCCCTTCCAGTGGGTTCCTCTTCTGTCTTCCCTCGCCAGCAGGCTTCCATTTCTAGTCTTCGGCCCTTCCAGTGGGTTCCTCTTCTGTCTTCCCTCGCCAGCAGGCTTCCATTTCTAGTCTTCGGCCCTTCCAGTGGGTTCCTGTTCTGTCTTCCCTCGCCAGCAGGCTTCCATTTCTAGTCTTCGGCCCTTCCAGTGGGTTCCTCTTCTGTCTTCCCTCGCCAGCAGGCTTCCATTTCTAGTCTTCGGCCCTTCCAGTGGGTTCCTCTTCTGTCTTCCCTCGCCAGCAGGCTTCCATTTCTAGTCTTCGGCCCTTCCAGTGGGTTCCTCTTTCCTTGCCAGGCTTCCATTTCTACTCTTCAGCACTGCTTACTAGCAGTTTCAATCAAGCCAGTGCTTAAAGTTTGTCAATTACTCATGCAAATGAACTAAGTTGCCAATCCAGAATTAGTAGAACTGGGTTTCCCTTTTTATTTTAAGACTGTGCTAGAGTGCAGGGAAAACCAGCTGTGTCTGTCAGAATGCTTTCAGCCACAAGGGACAGAAAATCTCACAAAGGGAGCTCAGCCAGTCGGGAGAATGGGCAACCTTGAGTTACACGTCCCAGGTTTGTGCAAGTCTGGGGACCCTGAGGAATTCAGGGGCCACAAACACCACAGTTCTTCCCTGTCACTGCCTTGGAATCCAGGCTCCCTCCTCCAAGGGGTGTGGCTGAAGAACTCAGAGAGCAGATCAGCCCTGCTGCTTCCAGGCTGCAGGACCAGCAAAGGCTCCATCTGCAGGGTCCATCCCCTCCAGGGAGGATGGCGGATGACGGCCCATGCCCTTGGGTGTGCACCATGGCCAGGACACTGTGACCTGGCGAGTGTGCAGGATGACTGACTCCTGTGTGACAGAGGAGGAGCCAGGAGCATGGAGACGTCAAGAGCTGCCCAAGACCATGCAGCCAGTGGTGGAGCCAGGGCGAGCACCAGCAGCCGGGGTCTGCCCTGCCTGTGCTTTGCACCAACAGCTGTCGCTGTCTGCACCTCACGGGGTTGTCTGGGTCCTGGAATTTGTATGAGTAATGAGCAGGCAGGCATGTGGTAATGCTATCCACTGCCAGCTAACCATTTTCCGAGCACTATCCCATTTCTCTCCTGGTTCCCAGCTTGTCCCCATGTGGCACCTGGGGCAGTGCAGGACACAAGCTCCAGTGGGACCTCTGCCCCCCAGACGTACCCACCCTCCTGCACCCTGAGTCTCAGAAGCCAGGAGGCGCTGCTGCTCCTCTAGGGTGAGGCCCTGGCTTCCATGGGGTTCACAACAGGCAGGGCTCGAGGTGTCATTGTTCCACCCACAGCCCAACGTGCTTTTGAAGGTCAACAGTATTTACACCATCAAGCAGCATCACCCTTAAGAAGGTGACAGAAACATGGGAGACGGGCGGGAGGAGGCTCTGCCACTGGGTAGCTGAGGCTGTGCAGGATTCCTCAGGAAGAACCTCCATGGGAAGGAGGAGCAGGTACAGGAGCCCACGAATAAGGCCAGGGAGGAGGAAGGAGGAGGGCGAGGCCCTGGATGTTCTCCTTCCCACCTTGGCATTGGCAGACAGATCCAAGGGGCTGCAGCCGGAGTGGCCTCCAGGCCCCAGGGAAGAATTCCTGGGAGATTTTGCAAAGCCAGGGTTTCCTTCACACAGTGCCACTGTCAGACATGTTCCAGCCAGAGTCTTGAGTGAGGGCTGGGAAGAGGAGGCCGGGACTGCTGGGGCTGCACTCTCAGAAGGCCAGGCCTTCCTCCCTCCAGACGTTTACAGGTCAGGGACAAATTCATGGTGTTTACTAAACAGACCCATACCTGGGAGGGTCCAGACGAGCTGATACCTGGAGAACAAAGGCATTCCTAGTTCTGATTTAGAGCTGACAATATCGATTCTTGTAAAATGGAGCAATTAAGAAAATTAAACCTTTATGGCAAACCCTCATCAGAGAGCACATCTGCCATCACACAAGCCTTTTCCTGGGCAGCGCTGCCGCCTGTTCCTTTCGGGGACGTCCTTTGCTGGTGGAGCAGCGGCACCTCCACCACTCCACTTTCCAGATCAACCTGCTTTTACTTCGCACTGTGGACTTACCTGAGTCCCTGCACAGGACGCAGGAACCCTCTGCTGGGGTCTGGATCAGAACCCTGTCCTGTTACATGTTTCCGGCAACCACAGAAGGGACCACAGTGCAGAATCCCTGACCTGAGGCCGCCTTAGGGTACCTGGCAGGGTCCTCTAACACCCCTGCAGGGCCCACTGGCCACCTCTGCTGCAGGAGGCTTCAGCTGCCACCTCACAGCGCAAAGTGTCTCACTGTGGAAACGAGGCGGGTTCTGCAGGAACCAGGAAGCTTTAATTGATTTCAGTGGCTAAGAGAGAAAAGGCCAAAGCTGACTCTGGCACCGGACAGGCTTGGAGGGCGCTAAGGACGAGGTGGACCAGACGAAGGCGTGTGTGCGTCGGCCCTCCCCTCGCCCTGCCCTGCCCAGCACCGTCTGGCTGACATTCTGTGCAGACAGCAAACGTGGGGCTAAGTCTTCACGTCTTTCCCCTGGAGCTCCGCCTCCCACCTGGGGAACTTTCAAAACAAGCTGGCCGGGACTCCACTCTTAGGTGTCTGACTCCATGGCCTGGGCTGTGACCCTGCCATGGGGTTTCTGCGGCGCTCCCAGGAGAGCCGTGAAGGCTGCTGTGCTCTGCTCTGCTCTGGGTCCTTCTGTCGCAGTCTGGAGTAGAAGCATCTGAGCAACTCAGTTAAGCACCGATTCAACGACCCCCTATTTAGTACCTGGCATGTTTTGTACTGGGCATGGGACTTGGTTATTGTGCCCCAGGAAATTACAGGGTACTGCCCCAGCTGAGAGCCCCTGTGCCTGGGGATATACACATCCAGCCCCGGCCTACTGTGAAGGGGAGGGAGGGTTTTTATAGAGAAGGGAGACTTTTGAAAATGCCAAGTCTCTCAGCTCAGTGTCCGTGCCAGACCCTGCCCCCCTCCAACAGTCCTGGGCCCCTCCTTCCTGCTGCCTTCAGCCTCTGTCCCTGTTTCGTTGCTGAACCAGCACAGCATAAAAGTGCCATCAGATCAACTAGTTTCTCCCGGATGCTCTGGCCCTGTAGGCAGGCAGTGGCTTCCGTCCCTCCAGCCACGTAGCCACAGTCACCCAGTTGCCCAGGAGGGGAAGCGTGAGTGTAGCACTGCCACCACCACCCTCGGCAGCCTCTCATGCCATGTCCTGTGACTAGGCCCCCACAGTCCTCCCGTCCCAGTGCCCATCTCAAAACGTAACTCATCTGCCTCTCAAGGGGCTAAAAATCTAACAAATTAATTTCCTTTAAGATATAATTGTACAGAACGGGCGTGGTAGCTCATGCCTGTAATCCTAGCACTTTGGGAGGTGGAGGCAACCAGATCATGTGAGGTCAGGAGTTCGAGACCAGCCTGGCCAATGTGGTGAAACCCATTCTCCTCCCTCTCCACTAAAAATACAAAAATTAGCTGGTGTGGTGGTGGGTGCCTATAATTCTACCTGCTCAGGAAGCTGAGGCAGGAGAATCACTTGAACCTGGGAGGCAGAGGTTGCAGTGAGCCGAAATCAGGCCATTGCACTCCATCCTGGGCATCACAGCAAGACTCCATCTCAAAAAAAAAAAAAAAAAGATATAATTGGATTGATAAAGCTTAGTAGTTACCATCTTGGAGATGTCTCTGTTCTGTTGGCTGTGGTGCCTCCATGTTGAAAGCGTGAAGAGTCTGTAGTGTACATTGGGAGCGAATTCCCCATGGGTCTCTCATGTTGTTACATAACTGCTTTGTCCAAAGCTGTCTTTTCCAGAATGACTGTATAGCAAACAGCCTTGAAAGATACAGATAGTTTCTCTCTGGAACAAAAGGTGGGCACGTTCCTGCCGATGATAGAAGATTTGCATCCTCTGAGCTCAGAGTTCCTCTCTGTAATGCACCTGCTGTGTGTGGGGGCACCCACCTGTGCCCATGCACTCACCCTATGGCACTGGAAGACAAGAGGAACTGCCATAAAGATGCAGATGTCATGCTGCCTGTGACAGGAGTAACAGCCTTTTTTCTCGGACCTTGGAATCGCATGCCTCCTACAGCATCCGTGAAACTGCAGGCTGGTGCATCAGCTCACAAGTGCTGAAATCTCAGTCTTTCACAGTTTCTGGCACTGTGTCATATGGTGGATGATTACGTAGCTGTCCAAATGAACGCAGTGCGGTGACATAACATGGTGAAACTCAGCAACGTAATGCAAAGAGAAAGGCTAAAATCACTGCAGAAAGTACAAGACCAGGTTGGTAAAGTCAAGCTCGTTCGTGCACACACACTTTTTAGGAATACATATGGGTGCAGAACTATTTTTTAAAAAGTGAAAGTGGGGGAGCAGGGACATGGGATTTAGGATGATGGTCACGCGGGGGTGAAGAGCCAGGGGACTGTGTGGGAGCAGGGTGGAGCTGTGTGGTTTAAGGTAGGTTGTGGCCCAAATCCTGGCTTTTGTTTGGGTGAGTGAGGTAGAGATGCTGCATCTCCATTATCAGAATAAACAGCTAACTAGTAGCTCACAGTACTGGCCAATGGTGAGTGTGCTACATGAAGCAAGGGTTATTATTAATTTGGTTTGTCTGCCTGAAAACAGTTACTAAGGATGGACAGATAAATAGATTAAATAAATGAATGCATGGCTGAATAGATGGACGGATACATAAACAACAGACAGGACGGTCGGCTGAAAACCTCCTTCCTGAGGACGTTTCCTACTCAGGAACTCCTATCCTTTCTTATCCTTCCTTAATCTGAAGACGAAATGAGACATCTTACAGGGAATATTGCTTTAGACGACTGGCTGCCGATGCCGCATGGCAGAGTCTTCGTTGTTGTTCTTTTTCTTGGGGTGGGTCTGCCCGAACACCCTTCCAGTCCACCTGGACGTGGTGAACTTTGCTGTAGGTTCAGTGAGACCCATCCACAGCATTGATGGAATTTCTAGAAAAACTGGCCAGCCGGCCTCTTTGCCTGGCTCCATGAAGTCTCAAAGAGGCTGGGGGAGCCTGGGAACCACTGGAATTGCGGGTTTCTCCCTGTGGGGTGCTCACTAGGGCCTGGGCGCCACACAATGGGGACATGGGGACGGAGGTGTCCACCCACCCCGGCAGCAGCTCCAGGCTTGCAGGGCTGTCCACTCCGCACCCAGGTGACGCTCTTGGGATCTGGCCACATGGTGGGTCCTTTGGCTCAGCTTGTTCCGTGCCCCCAGAGCAGGCACTGCCTGTGCCAATGTCCCCTGAAAAGGGATGACCGTTTACAGACTTTTCTAGGCCTCTCAGCTTGAGGTAAATTTTACAGGCTAATTTCCTTGAAAGACGGAATTGCTGTGGGTGAGGAAAGGCTTGTATAACTTGAGCAAGAAGTGAGGTGGGTAATTTAAAATTACTTCATAGGCTGGGCATGATGGCTCATGCCTGTAATCCCAGCACTTTGGGAAGCTGAGGCAGGCAGATCACCCGAGGTCAGGAATTCAAGACCAGACAGGGCAACATGGTGAATGAAACCCCGTCTCTACTTAAAAATACAAAAATTAGCCAGGCAGGGTGGCATATGTCTGTAATCCCAGCTACTCAGGAGGCTGAGGCAGGGGAATTGCTTAAACCCGGGATGTGAAGGCTGCGGTGAGCCGAGATTGCACCACTGCACTCCAGCCGGGGCCACAGAGCAAGACTCCATTAAAAATAATAAATAAATAAATAAATAAAATCAATTCCTAGGAAATGGAATGGTAACTCCTGAAACATGGAGTTTCCGGGGCTCATGCAGCCCAGGCCCTGGCTGGAGACGGTGACCCCAGCACGGCCCCAGCTTTGTCACCTTCCCTGTGGGTCAGAGGCAGAGGCTGCTGCTTCCAGTGCTGAGCTGCCGGCATTCCTGCTTCCACACCACGCCCGGGTCCCCACAGCAGGCACTGGTCTCCCAGGTCCCTGAAAGAGGAGATAAAGACTCTATTCCAGGTGCGGTGACCACTCTCAGATCACACACAACTCCTCTGAGGTTGTGGTTTTTGACCCATGACCTTTGGTTCACAATGCCCATCACCCCCATACTCCAGTCCAGGAGGATTCATTTGGCAAAGTCTGGGAAAGGCTGACCTCATGGAAGGAAAGAGCTGTATGAATCGGAGGTATTAAAAATAGAAGTGAAGCCAGAAGATGTTTAATCTCAAGGGTAAACGCTTCCTGTGCAGTTCAATAAACCTCCTGTGTTCAGAGAGGAGCAGGTAACAGTGGAAGACGGAGAACAGCGCTCCACACGGGAACAAAAGCAGACCAGCCCAGCGGGCACCAGAAGGAAAGGCGCCCGGCACTTGGAGGCCTGCAGCTGACAAGAGGGCCTGTCCTGGGGCCACGTGCGCCAGGCAGACAGTATCACAGGCTGTCGCCTGGCGCTTCCATGCGGTGTCAAGGCACCCCTAATTTGTGGCCGCACCCCGCAGTGGGAAGTCGGGAATGAGCCTAGCCTTTCCCTGGAGCTTGGGCAAGTCACTTCCTGCCTCTAAGTCCCATCTTGGAGAGGAGGGCTGGCCACACACTTTTCCGTTTGCATGAAGGCCTACGATGCCTTTGCCACGTGAATTCCATCAAACCCCTCCCTGCCTGAGGGTGTTGGAGCACCGCAGCTGGGAACCCAGGTCCTGGAGCCTTGGTTCAGATCTCAGTTCTGTTGCTTAATATTTCCCCCAATATTTTGTTATGAAAAATTTTAAATACAGAAAAGCTGCAAGAATGGCTCAGTGAGCACCCACCTGCCTGCCACCCTCTCCTACAGGCAACCTCCCACCAGTGAGCAGCCACCTGCCCGCCACCCACTTCTACAGGCAACCTCCCATCAGTGAGCACCCACCTGCCCGCCACCCTCTCCTGTAGGCAACCTCCCATCAGTGAGCACCCACCTGCCCGCCACCCTCTCCTGTAGGCAACCTCCCATCAGTGAGCACCCACCTGCCCGCCACCCTCTCCTGTAGGCAACCTCCCATCAGTGAGCACCCACCTGCCCGCCACCCTCTCCTGTAGGCAACCTCCCATCAGTGAGCACCCACCTGCCTGCCACCCTCTCCTACAGGCAACCTCCCATCCATCAGTGAGCACCTACCTGCCCACCACCCTCTCCTGTAGGCAACCTCCCATCAGTGAGCACCCACCTGCCCGCCACCCTCTCCTGTAGGCAACCTCCCATCAGTGAGCACCCACCTGCCCGCCACCCTCTCCTACAGGCAACCTCCCATCCATCAGTGAGCACCTACCTGCCCACCACCCTCTCCTGTAGGCAACCTCCCATCAGTGAGCACCCACCTGCCCGACACCCTCTCCTGTAGGCAACCTCCCATCAGTGAGCACCCACCTGCCCGCCACCCTCTCCTGTAGGCAACCTCCCATCAGTGAGCACCCACCTGCCCGCCACCCTCTCCTGTAGGCAACCTCCCATCAGTGAGCACCCACCTGCCCGCCACCCTCTCCTACAGGCAACCTCCCATCCATCAGTGAGCACCTACCTGCCCACCACCCTCTCCTACAGGCTAGCAGGGGGCGATTGATCACATCCACCCCTCTGTCTACCAATCCATCTTGCTTTCATGTATTTCAAAATAAACTTCAGGCCAGGCAACCTCCCATCAGGAAGGTCAGGGCGTGGCCTCCCATGGCTGCCCCAGCAACGTCTCCAAACCAACTCTGCCCCAGAGCAACCAGCATTATGTGGATTTCACTTCACAAGTAAGATGCCAATTAAGGAGAAAGATTACAGATGGGGAGGGAAGTCAGGGATGGTCCCTGCCTGCCCGAGCGCCATCACTGAACAGCAGCGGGCATCCGTGACACTGACGGCCATGCCAGAGCCCTTCTGAGCACAGGCAGGAGGCGTGGCCAGCATTCCCACACCCTCCGACAGACGACTGGGAAAGGCAGGGCTCTTATGGAAGCATCTGAACACAGAGTGATCCGCTAATAGCTTTTTGTCAGACTCCTCGTTTTCAATGTTTTGTCAGGAGCAATCTCAGCTTTAGAGGAAGTTTGGAAATAACCCGTTGTCCACGCTTAACTATTTGTTTTTTGGGTTTTTTGTTTTGTTGTTTTGCTGGGCCACTTCACGCAGACATCACGAGGTTCACCTCGGCGACCTCAGCATGTCTCTGAAGAAACAGGATGTTCTTCTGCACAGCCAACGTCCCATTCTCTCACCTAAGAAAGTAATGACTCCTTACATCTCCTATCTGTCCGACCTACCCTCTGCGGGAGGACTGAGCTCGTTCGGGAAAAAAACCGGACCGCAGGTTAGAAAGTCTTAAGTTCAGGCTTTATTGAGAGGAAAGAGCCTCCAGGTGGGCCAGCCGGGAAGAAGAGGAAAATAGCCCCGCCGCTCAGAGGAGCAGGGTTCTTTTATAGGGGGCTGAAGGAGTGGGGAAGCCGAGAGAGCCGAGGTGGCGGGCAACGGTTGGTCCGTTTAAACCGCTGGGCGGGAAGCTGGGCGGCGGGAAGCTGGGGAGTGCTGATGAGGCAGGTGGTGATTGGTCAGCTGGTTGCCCGAAGGGAGGTGGCTGCAGCTGGGCGGGAAGGCCAGAATGGTATGTAGAGTGAGAGATAAGGGAGCCTCTTTGTGGGGGAGGGAAAGAGAGCTTTCACGGTAGGGGCAGAGTTTTTCCAAACACTATCATGTCCAAATTCAGAATGTCCCCATAGTCCCCCAACGCCTTGTATTATACAACCAGTGAAAGTTCATGCATTAGATTTTGCTTTTCTGTCTCTATTGCCTCTTTTTATTTCATTTTTTGAGACATCGTTGCACACTGTTGCCCAGGCTGGAGTGCAGTGGCGCCATCTCGGCTCACGACAACCTTTACCTCCTGGATTCAAGCGATTCTCTCGCCTCAGACTCCCAAGTAGCTGGGATTACAGTCGCACGTCACTGCATCCTGCTACATTTTGTATTTTTAGTAGAGACAGGGTTTCACTATGTTGGCCAGGCTGGTCTTGAAATCCTGACTGAGGGATCTGTGGGGATTGCTCCCGCGTGAGGCCCCTGGGAAATGGGCCTCGCTCATACGGTGAGCTTGAGCCCAGACACAGATCCCTGGTTGGGGGAGTCCAGCTGAGGGAAAGCAGGAACCGAGAGAGGGACTATGTTATTCTAAATAATTAATAGACATTACTTTATGGATATGAGGACTTGGGAGGCATTGTGTCTACTTTCGGCTTCTTATGGTTTATTGCTTGATTGTGTTCATTTTGGACCCTTGTTACTTACTTACCGTAACTTACAGGGCGTGACTGTAACTTACCATAGCTTACAGGGCGTGACTGTAACTTACTTACCTTGACCAATTGGGCGTAACCTACTTACTGGAAGTAACCTACTTACAGGGCGTAGCCTACTTACTGCGCTTAACTTACTTACTGGGTGTAACTTGCTTACTGTAACTTAAGTACTTTAATCTGGTGTAAACAACTTTAACTTCAAAAATACATAATGAAACACATTGCAAAAATAAAATTGCTGCATGAGCATAGCGCATGTAGCCCTCCAGACCTCACCTTTTCTGTCTCCTTTTTTTCCGGCGTGCGCTCTCTTCCAGGTTTGGGACCCTCTCGCAGGACAAGATTCCCAGGCTCGAGTTCAGTTCACAACAGCTGGCGCCCAACGTGGGGCAAGTCAGTTCACAACACCTGACCTTACATAATCCACCCACCTCAGCCTCCCAAAGTGCTGGGATTACAGGCATGAGCCACAGCACCAGGCCTGTAAAAATAATTTACTCTTGAAATTTGACAGGATTTTGACAAAAGTATGTTCGTGCCTCCCGAATACATCTTCTATGAGAACTATTACAGATGTTCACCTGTTCACAAGAAAACTGAGTAAATTATTTAAATGTTACTGTGCCCTCCCTGGATTGGACTTTGGAATTTGCCTTTCATTAACACACTACAGTCTGACGTGGGGCTAAAACGTAAATGCTATCTCTATTTTAAAGTAAGTGATCCTACGTAAAATCAGCAAAATGGAACGCTGCTAGGCTGTGAAAATGAAGTGCCCAGTTGGACGTCAGGCGGGCTCCTAGTGCGGTCTCACCGTTGCCTGACTGTCCGTCTACCCGTCTTGCTGTGTGGTGGCCGCTGCGTCTGACCCTGACGTTTGGAGTCAATGTGAGTTGACTCCAAAGTGTCCTGAGTTTGCCAGCTTCCCATGCAGGGCTGGTGTGAGACGGGCAGGCAATGGTGCCGTCTTGGCTCACTGCAACCTCTGCCCCCCAGGAACACGCCTGCAACCGATGCCCGCTGGATGGAGTTTCTCTCCCGGCTTCCCTGCCCTGCTCTCAGAGTCCCCCAGACCCTAGGCCCTCACTGCTGAGGGCCACAGCCCTGAGCATGCACCAGCTTTTCCCTGAGCTGTGCTAGGGCCCCAAACCCACCTCCTATCCCCGGATCCCACCCCTGCCCTCTGGCTTCAGGCTGGAAAGATGGTGGTAAGTGTTGGTGGCACCCAAAAAGGTCATGTCCACTGGAAGCTGTGAATGTGACTTTATTTGGAAATAGGGTCTTTGTGGATGGAATCGAGGTGATGTTACACTGCAGTAGGGTGAGCTCAGGTGAAACCACCAGTGTCCTTAAAAGAAGGAAATTGGGCCAGGTGCAGTGGCTGTAGTCCCTGACCTTGGGCTTCCAGTAGCCAGCAAGGTGAGAGAATGCACTTCTGCTGGGTACACCATGTAGTGTGTGACACTTCATTACCACATCCCTAGGACACGAATACAGGAGGCGTCTGTGACTGGCCAGGGTGTCCTTTTGAAGACGGTTTTAAAGCAGGACAGTGTCTCAGCTCGAGAGGAAGCATCTCGGATGGTGAGGGTAGACCAGCTACGCAGCAGGAAGAAATCACACCTCAGAATGAAAGATGGGAATTTGAGAAAGCTGCTTTGATCTGCAGGTTTTGAAGGAACTGTGGGCATTTTGATGTCACTTTTCTGAGCAATTGTGCCCAAGGCACCCATAGAGAAATGGGAAATCATAACTTGCAAGCATTGCTCATCACAGACACCCCCGACCAGACAAGCTGATCACTCCTATCCATCCCAGGCTCTCACCTGCTCCCTGATGAGGAGTCCCTGGGCCAGGGAAGAGGCAAATTCACTCCATAATTCAGCAAAATAGCTCCTTGACCTTTTTTTTTTTTTTTTTTTTTTGAGATGGAGTCTCTCTCTGTTACCCAGGCTGGAGTGGAATGGTACCGTCTTGGTTCACTGCAACCTCTGCCTCCCAGGTTCAAGCGATTCTTCTGTCTCAGCCTCCTGAGTAACAGGGATTATAGGTGCCCGCCATCACGCCCAGCTAATTTTTGTATTTTTGGTAGAGACTGGGTTTCACTATGTTGGCCAGGCTGGTCTCAAACTCCTGACCTCAGGTGATCTGCCTGCCCCGACCTCCCAAAGTGGTTTAAGAAAGAAACATACCCCCCGCACCCCGCTTTCCTCTGGCTGTTCACGTGCTAATTCTGAGAAACAGCCGTTACACTTTCATACTAATTATCCCACTGCTTACAATATTTAACCAGTACTCTGACAAATTGTTAATTTAAGAAAAGTTTGCAAAGGAAGTAACCCTACTGTGCTTTTTAAAAGGCAGACCAGAAAAGAGTGTGGGAAAGCCTCTTACTGTAACCTTCCCTGAAAGGGTTATCCTTTTAAAATCGCAGCCGACCAAACCCGAACTCTGCATCCAGAACTTCAGCTTTGTGTGGCGTATCACCATATAATACAAGCCACACATTGTGGTGACCTACCAGTTTGAGTTGAATTAAATATTGAAAGCAAACTCCAGAAATATCTCAAAGGAAACACACCAGCAATATGGCATCGATTGTGCTAGGCTGCTTAATAATTAATCCCCTCACCTTAGGTTTTGAATGTCATTCTGGTTATGCCTCAGCACCAAAAACAACTGAGAAAGGGGCCGCAGCTCCGGCCTCCATCTGCTGTTGCAAATTCGGAGCAGGGTGCTAGTGGGGGTGGGGAGAAAAGAGAACCGGCCCTTTCATGTGTCCACTTCATAGGAACCCAGGCCAGTGTCGCAAAGCAGACCTCGGCTTAAAGCAAAAGCAGAACAAAGTTGTTTCTCCCTCAATAGGGTGACCCTCCCAGGTTCAGCAGACAGAATCCAAACAAGGACCCTTCCAAACACAGCAGGAGCACCAACAAATGCCGGAAAGTTCAGCTGTGGGGTTGTGACTGAGTTTCGTGGCCCTGCTTCAGCCCGATCGGTGTTTTGAAGTTCAGCTGTGGGGTTGTGGCTGAGTTTCGTGGCCCTGCTTCAGCCCAATCAGTGTTTTGAACGCTACTGGGGGGAAGACGAGAGTCTGCTCTCATGCTGCCCCAAACCAGAAATACCGGCGTCATGTCCACGCTTCTGCTTCTTTGAAGAAGGGACCCGTCTCACACGTCCAGACAGGGCTTTGGAACTGGAGATGAAACCCTGTGAAAGAGAAGCCTTGGTTTGTAGTCACACCCAGCCTGGGCAAGGAGGCCAGAGGAGGCTGGAGGAGGCTGGAGGAGGCTGGAGGAGGTTGGTTCTGTGTCTCAGGTGGGGCCTTGCTTAATTTTTTTTAATTATTATTATTCAAGACAGAGTCTCACTCTGTTGCCCAGGCTGGAATCCAGTGTTGCCATCTTGGCTCACTGCAACCTCTGCCTTCTGGGTTCCAGTGATTCTCCTGCCTCAGCCTCCCAAGTAGCTGGGATTACAGGTGCACACCACCATGCCTAGCTAATTTCTGTATTTTTTAGTAGAGATGAGGTTTCACCATGTTGGCCAGGCTGGTCTCAAACTCCCGACCTCATGATACACCTGCCTCAGCCTCCCAAAGTGCTGGGATTATAGGTGTGAGCCACTGCACGATGCCGCCTTGCTTAATTCTTAAAAGGACTGATTAAAAACAAAAAGCCTGATCCAGTTACAGATTTAACAACTGAATTAGTGAAAATGATCTTACCTGAAGGGTTTTGCCAACAGGAAGAGCTGGGGATTGTTCACGAACATTTTTTGTCTCGTTTAGTTTCCCTCATGACATACAAAGCCTTCCGCATTCCACCCATGGGTGGGAGAGGGATGGGCCTTTCCCTGACTGGGTTGTCAGGGCTCACAGGGAGCATACAGAGCTCCTACCTGCAGCCAGGAGTGGAACTGAGCACCCAGCTTCATGTTTCCAGATCTCACAAGGATCTGACATGTGCAGCAGCAGGGCCGGAGCAGGGGCCACTGCCCTCGGAGGCTCGGATGAGCCGGCCACGCAGGACAGCACAGCACAGCCGGAGCAGGTTGTCAAGCAAGGGCAACAGTGAAGGGAGGTGACCACGGGGAGCCTGGGACTGGGCCAGGCAGGAGAAAGAGGGTCTCATTCTGTTTCTGTAACCTTGATAGTTTCAGGTCTTAAGTAC